CTCTCACTCTGTCCCCACACCCAGCATGGCTTTGCTGTGCTTTGCTTTACAGCATAGATCACAAAAGGCTAATCTGATCCACATTCAGATCACAAAAGGCTAATCTGCTCCCACCTTCAAGGGAGGGACTGTTTTGCTCACTGCTCCTTTCCCAAAGCCTGATATATTGTAGGTGCTCAATAAATACTCATTGAATTAATTCACTCATTGCCTCATTTCCTCACTGTGTAACCTTGGGCAAATCACTTCTCAAGCGATGACACAAGCAGCACAGGTTGGTGGCTGCTGTTTCTGCAGGGTCTCACTCACATGATCATGAGCTGGTCAGCCGTCTGTGGGGAGATGGAGGTAACTGGGCCACATGTCTTTCTTTTTTTTTTTTTAACCGGGAGATATTTTTCAGAGCAGGATTTCAGCTGCTTAGGGGAAACAGGCTACTTTTTTTGTTTGTTTGTTTTTTGTTTTTTAGAGAAAAAGAAGGGGAAAAAAAGAAAAAGAGGGAAAAAGGAATATTACTTCATTCCTAAAATGGGTTTCAATAATGGCCGATCAATATTTTGAGTGTTTAAAGTGGTTAATGCATATTTTATGTGTTTAAAATGGAGACCTCTATTGTGTTTATTTGTTCTGGCTCTGAGTTCCCACTTAGTTTCTAAACCAAGTCTTCCTTCCTCTGCCTGGGTCTGACTTGGACACCTCCACGTGGATTTGACATATGGCTGGCCAGATCTGGCTGGGCTTTCCCTTTTCCCGGCACACCTGCGCTGGACCCCACTGGGAGTTCAGGCCCCATCCTGGCTTGCTAAGTGCACCAAGTGTTCTCCCTGCTGTATAGGCCCCACTGTCTTCCTTCAAAAGTTCAGTGGAGCCCAGCGGTAAGTGCCATTGCCCCTCCACAGATAGCACCCTGGCTTGTACCTAAGCTCCCTGGCTCTGCCTACCCAGCCACGGCTGCTCCCTCTGTCTCCCAGATTGCACTTGGTGTTGGAAAAGAACACAACCAACATGGAGATGAACTCATTTGGGGCTATGGTCAGCTCCTGTTTCCTGTCTGCATTTGGGGCAGATTTGAACTGAAAGAGGGAAAAAGCAATAGTAAGCAAGAGGCGCCATCCTTCTCTCTATTTTAGGCAGGGTTCACTCTAACTCTGTAAAGCTCCTGTTTTTCCCCCTTTCCAGTGGATTCATTTTTCTGTAAATCATGTAGTACCTATTGCCACTTTTTGTCGTTGTTGTTGTTTTTACTAATCATGAATGTCTTCTACTGAGTAGTAATGTTTTAAAGCTACTTTGTTAACTTACAATTCTAATTTGAAAATACTAGATAGGATGTCATGTACAAATGGCAGGTTTCCACCTACATGACTTAGAAGTGTTGCCTGGATTTTCCTTTAAGGATACGGAGGGGGTCTGAGCTCACAGGGTGAAAGTACATGATCCGCACAAAAGGATGCCTCTCACATTCAGAGTAGAGCTTCCCCCAAGGGGTAGGGACTGCTGTTGAATCGTGGTGGGGAAGGGCAGAGGGCATACAAGGCTTCTTTTGTATTTCTAATGTTTTACTGATTAAGTTTGAAGGTTTGTGAAATTTGACATAATATCTTGTATCTTTTTGGATGTGTCAGATACTTTATGATGAAATTGAAGTGAGCACCGTGATAGTGATAACCACCCAGCGTGTCATTGATATGCATGCCACATGCTTGTCCCGGGTATGTGGAACCTGCCTGCCCATCACTGAGGCACCCTTAGCCTCTACCCCAGATTAGACTGTCATCTCCAAGTATCTGTGTATGAAGTTATATATGTATATTTATATGCACAGATGCAAATCCATTTTGTCTCATGTGTTATCATAAAATGCAGTATGGAACTTTTCAAAAAATCAAATATTTCCAAATAAAATTTTTCTTCTTCTTCTTTTTTTTTTTTGAGACGGAGTTTCGCTCTTGTTACCCAGGCTGGAGTGCAATGGTGCGATCTCGGCTCACCGCAACGTCCGCCTCCTGGGTTCAGGCGATTCTCCTGCCTCAGCCTCCCAAGTAGCTGGGACTACAGGTGCATGCCACCATGCCCAGCTAATTTTTGTATTTTTAGTAGAGACGGGATTTCACTTTGTTGACCAGGACGGTCTCGATCTCTGGACCTTGTGATCCACGTGCCTCAGCCTCCCAAAGTGCTGGGATTATAGGCGTGAGCCACCGCGCCCAGCCGATAAAATTTTTCAAAAATTTTTTTCCTGGTATTAAAAGAAGTACATAGATTTATGGGAGGTTAGGAAACACAATAAAGTAGAAAGAAGAAGAAGGGGGGGAATATATATATCTAATGTTAATATAAATGTTAGCAGTCTCTAGGGTGGCACTATTATGGGTCTCTAGCACCCCCCTAGAAACTGCTAACATTTGGTGATAGCTGTGATCTATCCCCCAAAATTCATGTGTTGAAACTTAATCACCAATGTGGTAGTATTAAGAGGGGCTTTGGGGGGTGATTAAGTCATGAGGATAGAGCTCTCATGAATGGGATTGATGATTTTATAAGAAGTGAAAGAGAGTGTCCAGGGTCCTTTTTGCCCCTCTGTTCCTTTTACCATGTAAAGACACAGCATTCATAGTGCCCATCCCTCTTAGAGGGCACAGCCACAAGGCATCACCTTGGAAGCCTTCACCAAACACTGAACCTGCCAGCTCCTTGGTCGTGGACTTCCTAGCCTCCAGAACTGAGACATAAAGTTCTGCTCTTTATAAATGACCCAGTCTGAGGTATTTTGCTATAGTAGCACATACGGACTAAGACAGTGATATTTTCTCCCATTGTTTCTCCGTTCCCGTGTGTGGATTTTTATATTGATGAGATCATTCTGAATATAACATTTTACATCTGTCTTCATTTAATAAGATAACCATTTAAAATACTGTTAAGATTATTCATAAACTTTTTTTTTCTTTGGAGATAGGGTCTCACTCCAACTCCCAGGCTGGAGTGCAGTGGCATGATGATGGTTCACTGCAGCCTCAATTTCCAGGACTCAGGTGATCCTCCTGCCTCAGCCTCCTGAGTAGCTGGGATGTCAGGTGTGCACCACCATGCCCAGCTAATTTTTTGTACAAAAATACAAAACCTGGATACAATACAAAATACAAAATCTGTCGTCCCAGATTTCAAGACCAGCCTGGGCAACATGGGCTGGTCTTGAAACCCTGGGCTAAAGTGATCTCTCCGACTCAGCCTTCCAGAGTGCTGCGATTACAGGTGTGAGCCACCATGCATGGCCCCTTTATAAACATTTTAATAGCTTATAGTGAGCCACTATATAAGAATATTATAAATTAATCATTCCCTGCTATTAGACAATTTTCACTATATGAGAAATAACAACTGCATCTTTGAGCATAGTTTCTGTCATCAGATTTGCATTTGTTTCCTTAAATGTATGCCAGCTATATCAAGGGTTCTGAATATTTTCAAGACATTTAATACATTTTTTTTCAAGTTGCTTTCTATAAGGTAGAGCCTTTGTTAGTCCGTAATCTGTGTTTGTTCAGGTAACAAACCTCTAGGCAGACACACTCCTAGAAGTCTAAGCTTCACGATGAGTTCCAGGCTGTGTTACATTTGCTCACACTTCATGGATGCGTTGGTGCCATTCACAACTCCACCCTGTATGAAAGACCCTTTTTATTTTGTTTTCTTTTCTTTTTTGAGACAGAGTCTCAATCTGTCACCCAGGCTGGAGTGCACTGCAACCTCCACCTTCGGGGTTCAAGTGATTCTTCCGCCTCAGGCTCCCAAGTAGCTGGACTACAGGTTCACACCACCATGCCCAGCTAATTTTTTGTATTTTTAGTAGGGACGGGATTTCACCATATTGGCCAGGCTGGTCTTGAGCTCCTGAGCTTGTGATCTGCCCGCCTTGGCCTCCCCATGTGTTGGGATTACAGGTGTGAGCCACCACGCGTAGCCGGAAGACCCTATTTCTGTTCGTCCAGGAGCTCATATAGAGTACCTCTTTCATAGAACCCCATACAGCATTAGCTATTCATCTCTGTAAAAACTTGAATTCATTAAGTGAAAGTGGCATATAGGTGTTTTACCTTACCCTTTTTGATTATGGAGGACAAACATTCATGTCTGTGTTTCTTAGTCGTTTGTATTTTCTCTTATGAATTATATATTCATATTTATGGTTATGTTCTTAGTGTTTGTCATATATTTTGTCCATTAACTTGATAACATAGAATCTGTACTATTTGTTGTTAACATTCTTTCTAGTTTGTGATCATATTGTTTTTCTGGTAAACACAAGATTTTATTTTTATTGAGCACAGCCAAACCTCTTCCCTGATGATTTGCTCCCAGGATGTTCAGTTCTAAGAGTTCTTTCTCATTCAGACACTTGAAAAAAATGTTTATGTTTTCCTCTTGTGTATTATTTCATTTTTAAATTTATCTCTTTAATTTACATTAAACTGGATTATATTCAGATAAATAATGCCCAGTGAGAATCTTTTTTTCTTTTTGTACGAATAGTTTCTGAGGAACAATTCATTGCATAATCTGCCCTTTCTCTACTGATTTGTGATGTGTTCTCTATCTTACATTAAATTATCATATCTTGATCCTTTTTTAGTTCAAGAGCATGATGATTGGGTGTTTCACATATGTGTGAAAAAAATTATCATATAATCTCTGTTAAACATATTTTACTGAGTTCAAAACAATAAAATTTCATTCTTAATATAGATAAAGCACTGCTTATTCATTATATATATTTTTGTTTCAGTGTTAAAGTTTGTTTAAATTGACTTCTTTTTAATGTATTAACTTTAATGTTAACATTTCTGCACTTTGAATCAAGTAAATTGGGTACTTCGACAAATAGGTTGCTTTGTTTCATTAGGGATTACCCCATTTAAAAATAAATCATAGTCATTGTACATAAAAGCCACTTGTATCCACTTTTAAATAAGTTAACTTTCTCTATTTATGTTTTTTAGGGTTTATTATCTCATATACTTTCAGCACTCAGATTTGATAAAGAAGTTGCTCTTTTCACTCAAGGTCTTGGATATGCACCTATAGATTACTATCCTGGTTTGCTTAAAAATGTGAGTATTTAAAATTTATCACTTTTGAAATGTTCAATGTTGAATGTATCATCAGCAAAAAGAGTAAATGGAAATGTTTTGGTCCTCCAGAAGAGATGTTTAACTTTTCTTTGTTTATCTCTTTTTACCATGGGCAGACTTACGGCCATGTAAGGAAGAAATGTGAGATGGGAAGTTATGAGAAAGAAGGAAACCAGGAAGGGTTTTACTAAACAAACCAATCAACCTCTCTTTCTTGTAACACATCTCACTTATTCACTCTGATGTTTGGGAGAAGAGCTTTTCTTAGCTATTATAAACACAGTCTTGTACCATTAGACAAATCTTATATTTAAAATAACCTGATGGGAATTTTCTGTTAAAGCAAAGCAGAAAGTTCAATACATAGTATTACGTATTTACCTCTTAGTATTACAGCTTTGTTTTCTTCTGGCCTAAATTGTAGCCAAATGTAAGAAATTTTAACTTACAATCTTGATGTAACTCTTGTAAAAAATGTTAGAAGATTTTTAATGTTTGTTAACTGTTCTGGTGTTTCGGAAGCTTTATACAAGAGAAGCATTTTTTTTTAAATCAACTAGATTTTGAATGAAGAAATAAACTAACATTTTATTTAAATGGATTTGGTTTTAATTCTTACGAAATGAATGATCTGTCTATTGTTCATTGCCCAAATAGGAATGCAGAATTATAGACATTAAACATAAAATCCCGGTTATTAGTAAATATGACATGGCACTGCTTCCTTTTCACTCTGACAAAGTAAAACATGAGGAGAAGATGTGGGTTGGAGGAATCTCAACGGAAATATCACTCACACCAAGAAAAACAGAACTGAGGTAATCCTGTTTGCAGCATGAGTTAACCTGCAACTGATTTTGTTTTACAGATGGTTTTATCATTAGCATCTGAACTCAGAGAGAATCATCTTAATGGATTTAACACTCAAAGGCGGTAGGTGTTAAACTAAACATCCTTCTTCTCAAGTTTCAAAATGTGTCAATTTGGTTATAAAGGAAAATTTACAATTCATAGGAAATGTGTGTTCAGTTATGGTTGTATTCTATGTAGGAAGATTATTTTAGTGGAATACATAGCAAATTGGTAAGTTTTTTCAAACTCTTTTAAATCACTGTTTTCTCAACTCTCACAGAATAGTAAGTAAATCATGCAATGTCTTTTGTGGGCCCATTAAGTAAAAAGCCCTATGTATACAGTAGGGAGCACAAAAGAAAGAGCAGCACTTAGTTTTATCCTGGGGTTGCTCACTCTGCAGGAGGGGAATGTACACAGGTGCAAGTGTGTGCTCTCCTACTAGCCTGCTCTGGCTCTGCCTCCTCCTGCTCCCAGCACACAGACACACACAGAGTCAGGATATTTACAAGGCAACATTTTATGTGAACATATCCCCTATTTTAAGAAACATCATCATATTCCAAAATCTAGACTAAACAAACAGATTCAGACAAATTAAAAGGCAATTAATTACATTACAAATGTTTCTTCACTCTGTGAAAGAAATCAGTTTTCATTGGTGAACATTTCATTTTTGACATGTCATTAACCAGGAGAATCTGAGACTGAGGGATTGATTTTTTTTTTTTATAAAGCCGTTGCTAATTCCAGCTCTATCAGAAATTGTCTTTGTCTTCAACCTTTAGAAATCCTTTGCACCTAACCCTTAAACTATGTAATTATTAGAGGAAAACATTGGAGAAATCTTTATTATGTTGGATTGGCAATGTAAGAAGAAGAATATATAGGAGACATGGAAAGTGTTTAGATTTATTTATTTACATGTCAGGTAAAGACTTGGCTTTAGTTGTGAGGTGAATGTTGACTGATGGCTCTTTAGATTTATATAATTATAAATTTATTTAAAAGGACTTTAAAAATCAGTCAGTGTAATGTGTATATACTTCCTACACCAAAATCCCAAAATGTACATCACAGTTGATGATTTTTTAATAAGCAGCTGACAATAAAATAATTTTTAAAATTTATTAATAAATAGAAACAAAGGATCAGAATGCAAAATATAGAAATGACTTGCAAAAATCAGTCATAAAGAGGCAGATACTCCAGTATGGAAAAGAGCAAGGAATATAAGCAGGTCGTTACCAAAAGAGGAAAACTGAATTAATAATAACATTAAAGGAGTTCTTCAGGAGTGACATCAGCAAGATGGCAGAATAGGAAGTCCTAGACCTTATTTCCCAATAGAGACATTGACTTAACTACAACATACATCCCCCAAAAGTTTAATGAGAACTACAGAACCAATTAAGAAGTCACAATACTGCAGGCAAGCTAAAAGTCTAGAATAGCCACATTGAAATTGGTTAAAAATGTCTATTTTGTGTCAACTGTGATGGCCCTTTTCCAAGGCTGACACAGCTTGGGGAGATTGGTAGGAAAAACAGCTTTGTAGCTTCTCTCCCTTGGGAGGGAAAAAGAAAAGTGGAATGTGCATCCAACATTTTCACTTTTTAGGGAGCAGACAAGGAACTTCTCTCTCCACTGACTGAGAGCACTGATGAGGAAATGGTATACAGTAATCCCTCTTTATCTGCAGGGGATGTTTCAAGACACCCAGTGGATGTCTGAAACTGTGGACGGTACCAAACCTGATTGCCATCAATCATAACATATTTCTGTATTCCACTCACAAATTTAATGTATTTTCCATCCTAACTAAGCACTTATCATGCATGATGGCTATAATTTTTGCCATGCGAGATGCAATGATAAGACTAACATTTTTTTCCTTCTTTATAATTTCACAGATAGATGATTTGTTTTTACTATAGATCTCAGCAACTTCAGCATATGATTTTTTTCTTTCCTTATTAAGTTGAGAACTTTCACCTCTTCCCTTAAAGGAAGCACTTTATAATTACTCTATGGCATATCCAAATTGCCAGCCCCAGTGCTGTTGGACTTTGAGGTCATTATTAAACATTAATAAAATAAGGGTTACTTGAACACAAGCACAGTGATACTGTGACAGTTGATCTGACAACCAATATGGCTGCTAAGCAGGTAGTGCATATCATGGATACCCTGGGCAAAGGGATGATTCATGTTCCAGGTGGGACATAGTGGAACAGCATGAGATTTCATCATGCTACTCAGAACAGTGCACAATTTAGGCCAGGTAGGGTGGCACATGCCTTTAATCCCAGCATTTTGGGAGGCTAAAGCAGGTGGATCCCCTGATTTCAGGAATTCAAGACCAACGTGGCCAACATGACAAAACCCCATCTCTACTAAAAATGCAAATTAGCTGGGCATGGTGGCTCATGTCTGTAGTCTCAACTACTCAGGAGGCTAAGGCAGGAGAATCACATGAACCTAGGAGGTGGAGGTTACAGTGAGCTGAGATTGCACTATTCACTGTGCTATAGCCTGGGCAACAAGGGCAAGGTGTTGTCTCAAAACAAACAAAATAATTGCACAATTTGAAAGAATTATTTCTGGAATTTTTTCATTTGATATTTTTGGACCACGGGTGACCATGGCTAGCTCAAACTACAAAAAGTAAAACTGCGGATAAAAGAAGACTACTTTTGATGCCTTGGGGCCCTGGTAAACAAAAGAAAGCTTAGTGGTTTGTGGTAGCACCAGAGAATTGACAGTGCTGCGGATGGAGGCTGGCATAGCTCAACATAATTGGGAGAAAGTGCCTAGCTCATGACTTGTTCTTTGGGAGGGGAAGAGAAGAATGGATTATATATCCAGTATTCTGGCTTTTCAGAGGCCTACCAGAGAGACTGGTATCAGTCTTGCCTGACCCACAGCACTGACAGAAATGGCATCATACTTTGGAACAAGATAGCTCAGCAGCTTGTTGCAGCACTGGAGAATCTGTAATACCACAGACAGACACTAGAGGGAGGAAGAGATTAGGAGCTCTTGAGAAAGAAACCCATAAAGCCCTCTAATTTGGAAATCACAAGCCCTCTAATTTGGAAATCACATGCATAAGCTCAAGGAAGACACATCCCTGGAAAAGGTTCGAGGGACCTCCACAATCTTTAGTTGAGAGTCCATTTGTGAAAGTCTTCCCTGTACCATGTCTGTCCATAAAGACTGAGATAAGTGGATGTGTCTTTAAATGTACAAAATACAACAAAAACAACAAGACACAAAGTAAACCAGGGAAACATGACATAATCAAAGGAACAGAATAAATCTACAGAAGCAGACCCTAAAGAAACAGAAGTGTACTCATTACCTGACAAAGAATTTGAAATATTTGTCTTAAGGGATCTCAAGGCACTGCAAGAGAACACAGATAAACAATTCAATGAAATCAGGAAAACAATACATGAACAAAATGAGAATATCAATAAAGATGTAGAATAAATGAGAACAAAACAGATATTCTGGAGCTAAAAAACCACAATAGCTGAATTGAAAAACTTACTTGAGGGGTTCGGCAGTAGACTTGATCAAACAGAAGAAAGAATCAGAAAACTTAAACACAAATCATTTGAAATTATTAAGTCAGAAAAAAAAAAGAATAAAGGAAAGTAAAGAAAGCCTAAGACACTTGTGGAACAACATCATGTGGAACAATATACACATTATGGGAGTCCTAGAATAAGAGAGAAAGGGGCAAAGAACTTATTCGAAGAAATAATGGTAAAAACTTCCCAAATATTAGGAAGGAATTAGATATCCTAATTTAAGAAGCTCAAAGGACTCCAAAGAATTAACCCAAAGAGGCCCACACCAACGTAAACAAAAATTCGATTGTCAGAAGTTAAAGACAGAATCTTGAAAGCAGCAAGAAAAAAGTGACTTGTCATGTAGAAGGAAGATTCCAGAAGATTGTCAGTGGATTTCTCAGCATAATTACAGGCCAGAAGGGAGTGGGATGATACATTCAAAGAGCCAGGGAGGAAACGAAACAAAACAAAAACCCCTTCCAACTAAGAATACTTCATCTGGGCTAAATCATTCTTCAATAATGAAGAAGTAAAGATACCCCCAGATAAACAAAAGCTGAAGAAGTTCATCACCACTAGACCTGCCTTACAAGAATTGCTAAAGGGAGTCCTTCAAGTTGAAATGAAAGGATATTAGACAGCAACATGAAAGCATACAAAAATATAAAGCCTTCTGATAAATGTAAATATACAGAAAAATTTAAAATTTTATAATACTGTGTCATATAGTACAGTTGTACCTTGGTATCCACAGAGGATTGGTTCCAGGACTCCCCACACATACCAAAATCTGCGGATGCTCCAGTTCTACAGTAAACTGTATGGAACATACAGAAACAAATGGTCAATCTTTGGGTTCTACATCCTGCAAATACTATATTTTTGATCCATGATTAGTTGAACCCATGGATACAGAACACATAGACATAGAGGGCTGACTGTCCATAAATCATTTTTAATTCTGGTATAGAACTTAAAAGATAAAAGCATAAATAGCTATTAAACTATGTTGATACAAAATAGAAAAGGATATAATTTATGACATTAATAGCATAAACTGGGGAGGGAGATGTAAATGAGTAGAGTTTTAGTATGTGATTGAAGTTACCTTGTTAGGTTGTTATAACGCTAAGATGTTTAATGTAATCCCCATGGTAATAACAAAGAAAATACCTGTAGGAGATGCACAACAGAAAATGAGAAGAAAATCAAAGCATGTCACTATGAAAAAGATCAATGAAACATGAAGGGAATAAGAGAGAAAATCATGAACTGAATGACTACAAGGTATATAGAAAACAACAAAATGCCAATAATAAGTCCTTCTGTATCAGTAATTAGGTGAACATGAATTAAATACCCCATTCAAATGATGTGAAGTAGCAAACTAGATCAGAAAACAAGATCCAACTATGTTCTAGCTATATTCTGTCACTTGAGATATAAGGATATATATAGGCTGAAAATGAAATGATGGAAAAATATATATCATGTAAATGG